CAGGTTAGAATTTTGAAAGCAAAGTAAGAAATCAGGTCATGGAACCCAGGTATTGATTTTTTGAAACACTTTATAGAAAATGTCCTTTTTGACAGGTTGACATTCTTTACCTCAGCTGTTTGAATTCCCAGGTGTGTTCTTTGGTTTAATTATTAAACATACGATTCAGCAACCTAAGTTGGGATCATGCATCCACCGAGCCACATGATGGCAGTGTTTCCTAATTGTTGGGAAAGAATCTGCGTGTAAAGACAAGAAAAACGCTTCTTAAGGAGCGAAACTGTAAACATGAAAAACACAGCATGACCTTCAACGGCTCTCCACTGCCTAAAGAGGGAAAAAATTACATTTCTGTACTCTGTACAGGCCTTTTACAAGAATCAAAGGTAGACCTAGGTTACCGTTCCAAACCGTCTCTCCTCCCTCCCTTTTGCAGCCTCCCATCAGCCACTATCTTCTCTGCTCCGTGGACATGCCTAGCTTTTCCTCACTTCTCAATTTTTGCAAATGTCATGCTCTCTGCTTGAAACGTCCTGTTCATGAAGGTCTAAGGTGACAGACACACCTTAGGAAAGTGGCCCCACCGGTTTCCCAGCCCGGAGTGCTGTTGTGAAAGCAGGTCCTCAGCCACCGGGGAGGGCAGGGATCCTGCTTCCTGAGAAGGCTGCTGAAGACTCTGCTCCAAGCTAAACGAATCACCGTCTCCCCATGGTGAGGCAGAAATGCAGGGCACTCAGAGCGAAGACCGGGTCCTCTGCGTCTGGGAGTTGTGCTAAGTGATGCTGAGCACCTTCGCAGGATGCTTACGAAGCCAGAAGGGCATCCTAGAGCCTGGGACTGGGGCTGTGCAAGGGTACATTCCTCTTGTACCTCAGGCTCCCTATATTCTTAGCAAAACTTGTCATCTTTTGCTGACGGAATAAAATAGCACAGAGATTAGGAGAATAGACTCCCAAGTTAGATTTCCTGGGGTTGAATTCCAGCTCTACTGTAGGATCCAGCCCTACGGGGCTTAGGGGGTGTTCTCCCCGTGTGCGGAGATGAGACTGTAATAAATACACAAGACAAAGAGACAGAAGAAAAGACAGCTGGGCCCTGGGGACCACTACCATCAAGACATGGAGATCAGTAGTGACCCAGACCGGCTGGGAGTGCTGATATTTATTGCATACAAGATAAGGGGGCAGGGTAAGGGGCATGGATCTTCTAAGTGATTGACAAGGTGAAGCAAGTCACATGATCACAGGACAAGGGTCCCTTCCCTTTTAGGTAGCCGAAGTAGAGAGGGAGAAGGCAACATACGTCAGCGTTTTCTTCTATGCACTGATAAGAAAGATCAAAGACTTTAAGACTTTCACTATTTCTACCTCTATCTACTACGAACTTCAAAGAGGAACCAGGAGTACGGGAGGAACATGAAAGCGGACAAGGAGCGGTGACCATTGAAGCACAGCACCACAGGGAGGGGTTTAGGCCTCCGGATGACTGCGGGCGGGCCTGGATAATATCCAGCCTTCCACAAGAAGCTGGTGGAGAAGCGTGTTCCCTGACTCCACCAAGGAAAGGACACTCCCTTTCACGGTCTGCTAAGTAATGGGTGTCTTCCCAGGCACTGGCGTCTCTGCTTGACCAAGGAGCCCTCAAGCAGCCCTTATGCGGGCCTGACAGAAGGCTCACCTCTTGCCTTCTAGGTCATTTCTCACAATGTCCCTTTAGCACCTGACCCTACACCCGCCGGTTATTCCTAGGTTATATTAGTAATGCAACAAAGAGTAATATTAAAAGCTAATGATTAATGTTTATAATAATGACTGATAATTGTCCATGATCATCTCTATATCTAATTTGTATTATGACTGTTTTTATTCTATTTTCTTTATTATACTGAAACAGTTTGTGCCTTCAGTCTCTTGCCTCAGCACCTAGGTAATCTTTCGCCTACATTCTACTACTTAGTAACTATATGATCATAAGCAAGTGTGACTCAACCTCTCTGTGCCTCAGTTTCCTCATTTCTACAATGGGGATAATAACAGTAGCTACCTGATGGGTTGTTATAAGAATTAAATGAGTCACTGTGAATACATATATAAGTAAGTAATGTAGAACGGTGCCCAAATATGACATGTGTTAGAGCTCATTGCCGCTATTTTCTTTTTTTTTTTTTTGTTTTTTTGAGATGGAGTTCTTGGCTCCTGTCACCAAGCTGGAGTGGCAGTGGCTGATTCTGCTCACTGCAGCTCTGCTCTCGGGTCCTGCCATACTCCTGGCGTCAGCCTCCCCAGTAGCCTGGTACTACACGCGCCCCACACCATGCCAGCGCTAATTTTTTGTATTTTTTGTGAGCGGGTCTTCCACATGTTTAGCCCAGGTGTTCTCGTGCTCTCCTGACCTTGTGATCTGCCCCGCTCAGCTTCCAACGTGCTGGGATTACAGGCATGAGCCACCAAACGCCTGGCTCTTTTTCTTTTTCTTCTTTTTTTTTTTTTTGAGAAGACTCTCACTCTGTTGCCCAGGCTGGAATGCAAATGAACAATCTAGGCTCACTGCAACCTCTGCTCCCAGGTTCAAGTGATTCTCCAGCTCAGCCTCCCAAGTAGCTGAGATTACAGGTGCCCGCCACCACATTCAGCTAACTTTTTTGTATTTTTAGTAGAGACGGGGTTCCACTATGTTTGCCAGGCTGGTTGATCTCCTGACCTTAAGTAGATCCACTCACTTGGCCCCAAAGTGCTGGAATTACAGGTATTGAGCCCACTGCACCGGGCCTCCATTGCCACTATTGGCTTGAGCTGAGAAACCTGGCCTGGACCCAATAGCACCGCCAGCCCTTTCCCCACCTGGCTACTTCTGCTAATGCCTCAAGGTCAAGGCAGCACATTGCCCTGGGTAAGTTCTCAAGTGAGCCACATGGGTTTATAAAATGTGAATGGCTATAAAGAGATTCAGTGGAATTTCTGCTTTTCTTTTTTTTTTTTCTTTCTTTTCCTTAGCATTCTCCAAAGTTTGTGCAAAAATGCTGGTCCTCCCTGTCTTAACTCTAAAAACCAAAAGAGAAGGCCAGGTTGCAGTGGCTCACACCCATAATCCCAACACTTTGGGAGGCCCAGGCAAATGGATTACCTGAGGTAAGGAGTTTGAAAACCAGCCTAGCCAACCAAATGGTGAAAACTCTGTCTATACTAAAAATACAAAAATTAGCCGGATGTGGTGGGCTGGCCTAATATCCCAGCTACTTGGGAGGCTGAGGCAGGAGAATCACTTGAACACAGGAGGGGGAGGTTCCAGTGAGCTGAGATCATGCCACTGCACTCCCCAGCCTGGGCAACAAGAGCAAGAATCCGTCTCAAAAAATTAATAAGGCCAGGCGCGATGTCTCACACCCTGTAATCCCCACTTGGGAGGCCAAGGCAGGTGATTACCTGAGGTCAGGAGCTCAAGACCAGCCTGATCAACATGGAAGAAACCCTGTCTCTACTAAAATCCAAAATTAGCCAGGCGTGGTGGCGGGCACCTGTAATCCCAGCTACTTGGAGGTTGAGGCAGGAGAATGGCTTGAACCTGGGAGGAAGGTTGCCGTGAGCCGAAATTGCGCCATTGCACTCCAGCCTGGGCAACAAGAGTGAAACTCCGTCTAAAATAAAAATAATAAATAAAAATAAAATAAATAAAAGCAAAGAGAAAGAAAAGGTCAAAATAAGTTTAGTCATTCAGTCCTTCATACAAAATATTTATAGAGATACCATGTGCCAGGTGCCATGCTTAGCGTTTGGGATACAAATGTGAATAAGATACAGTCTCTCCCTCCCAGTCCCACAATCAATTGGAGAGGATCATGGCATGAGAAAAAGAATTCTCAGCACAAGAACAGGGACACATACACTGTAGGTGGTGCATGGGAAAAACTGACTCATTCCTCTTAGGACCTGCTGGGAGGCTTCACAGAAGAGAAGCCCCTTGTGCTGGTCCTTGAAGGATGAGTAGGAGTTTGCCAGATGGATCTGTGGGCAGGCATTCCAGGCAAAGGGAGCAGCTTGTGGAAAAAATCACAAAGGCATGAACCAACTTGGCACATTGTTTATTGTTTGGGGGAGCTATAATAGCTGCTGTGTTGGATAACCGAGCCTGTGTTAGGAGGATCATGTAGGATTACGCTGCTGGGCAGCGGGCCCCGTCTGAAAGGCCTTGAAGTCCAGGCTAAGGAATTCAGATATTCCTCCAGAGGCTGATACTACTCCAAAATGTCCACTGAAGTAGCACTCACTAATAATGGAAACTGAATACAGAGGAGAGGCGAGTCATGCCACAATCAGAGGGGCAAGGAGACTTTGCCTTTTGCATGTGGGAAATTTCTTGGAAATATCTTGTTTTATGTTAAAAATTCATGGAGAATTTTTCATTCTACTTTTTCTTTTTTTTTTAAGACAGAGTCTCACTCTGTCGCCGAGTACAGTGGCACGATCTCGGCTCACTACAACCTCCACCTCCCGGGTTCACGCCGTTCTCCTGCCTCAGTCTCCCAAGTAGCTGAGACTACAGGCCCCCACAACCACGCCCGGCTAATTTTTTGTATTTTTAGTAGAGACGGGGTTTCACCGTGTTAGCCAGGATAGTCTCGATCTCCTGACCTCATGATCCGCCCGCCTCAGCCTCCTAAAGTGCTGGGATTACAGGCGTGAGCCACCGTGCCTGGCCTATTTTTTTTTTTTTTTTTTTTGACAGTGGATAAATTTTTATTGAGCCACTTAGTTTACAACATGAGGTAAAAGGAAAAAGTTCTCCTTGAGCAGTATTTTACACAGCTGTAGGAAAGTAGTTTAGACTTCACGGATTCATAAGGGATTCCATCTCTCAAAAGCCGGGATCAAGTCAACAAATTCTATTAACTCCTCGAATTTTCCAGTTGACTCTTCCTTTACAACAGTAACAAGTTCTATTATGTAAGTTTCTTCAAAGCCAAGTTTTATCATAGTTACTAATACCGTTAGAGCTGCACTATTTCAATCAATATCCACTAATTCCACTTCAAAAATGGGTTTTGCATTTGGTGGAATTTTGGCATCAGGCTGTCCTTTCTTTCCATAAGCCCATTCTGGTTCAATCTCCAGTCCAGCCTTTTCTCCTTTACTCATAGTCAAGAGGGCTTCACCCCATCCTCTGACAACTTGGCGTACTCTGACCTTAAAACTTAAAGGCTTGGCATTTTTCTTCTTCTTTGCACTTGTTTGAATATTAGTATCAAAAACAGTCCCATCTTGTAGTGTTCCTGTATACCAGCAGTGAACAACATCTCCCCTTTTGGGAAAGTTGGTTTTATCTCCCTTTTTCAGAACAGATTTAGTATATTTTGGTGGACCCTTATCCAGGGTCTCTTCAGACTTGGTTTCTTTGGGTTTATCTTCATTAAGCTTCACATTTTTTAACTTGCTCACTTTACTTATACTTTCAGTACCCTTAAAATGCTTAGTTTCAAAAAGATGGTTATAGGCTGTAACCAAGTGGTCCTTGTTAGCTGTCTCGGCCACACGTTTAATGTTTCCTAATAATTTATGTTTTGCAAGAAACGAATCTGAACCGTGTTCCTGCAGAAACTTGATAATACCCTTCTTGGGCAGCTGCTCACTGTGCACCAGGCCCGGCTAATTTTTTTACTTTTAGTAGAGACGGGTTTCACCATGTTGGCCAGGCTGGTCTCGAACTCCTGACCTCAGGTGGTCCTCCCACCTCAGCCTCCCAAAGTGCTGGGATTACAGGCGTGAGCCACCGCACCCGGCCTAAATGTGTCTTACCTGGCATATTCTATTAACAGTCTAGGCCAGGCACGGTGGCTCACAGCCTATAATCCCAGCACTTTTGGAGGCCGAGACGGGCGGATCACAAGGTCAGGAGATCAGACCACCTTGGCTAACAGGTGAAACCTATCTCTACTAAAAAATACAAAAAAATTAGGCGGGCGCAGTGGCTCAAGCCTGTAATTCCAGCACTTTGGGAGGCCAAGACCAGGCGATCACAAGGTCAGGAAGATCGAGACCATCTGGCTAACACGGTGAAACCCCGTCTCTACTTAAAAAAAATACCAAAAAGCTAGACAGGCGAGGTGGCGGGCGCCTGTAGTCCTAGCTACTCGGGAGGCTGAGGCGAGAGAATGGCATGAACCCAGGGAGGCGGAGCTTGCAGTGAGCTGAGATCCAGCCACTGCACTCCACCTGGGCAATAGAGCGAGACTTGTCTCAAAAAAAATTAGCCAGGCGTGGTGGTGGGTGCCTGCAGTCCGAGCTGGCTGGGAGGGGCTGACCAGGAGAATAGCGGTGTACCTGGGAGGCAGAGCTTGCAGTGAGCCGAGATCGCGCCACTGCACTCCAGCCTGGGTGACAGAGTGAGACTCTGGTCTGCAGAAAAAAAAAAAAAAAAAGAAAGAAATAGTCTAGGACTTTGGTCAACATCTATATCAAAGTTGTGAGTCGTAAGCCACGGGCACTAACTCTGACTTATTTACAGAAAGAAATGATTTATTACAGGATACTGCATAGTTCACAAAATCACCAAGAAACCTACGGAGCCAAGATTGGCAGGAGCACAGACGGCCACAAGCCTAAATGGGTTGCTAAAACCACTGTTGTCACCACAGGACACTAGATGTCGCTGCTGGCAGCCCTCTGTGACCACTGGGCCTGGAAACCTCTGCGGTGCCTCAGAAATTTTCTCTGCTTCTGCGCCCTCAAATCCACATCCAGTGATCCTGACCACCAGAACCTAGGCCACATGCTCTCATCCTAGCTGGAAGGGGTGGCAGGAAGAGTGAGAACCTGGTGCTGTCAGTGTCTACAGGCAGATGGATTCTGCCTCCCTTCAAAAATAATAAGGTGGGCCCAGGCACAGTGGCTCACACCTGTAATCCCAGCACTTTGGGAAGCCGAGGCAGATGGATCACCTGAGGTCAGGAGTTTGAGACCAGCCTGGCCAACATGGCAAAACCCCGTCTCTACTAAAAATATAAAAATTATCCGGATGTGGTAGCATGCACCTGTAATCCCAGCTACTTGGGGAGACTGAGGTGGGAGAATCGCTTGAACCGGGGAGGCAGAGGTTGCAGTGAGCTAAGATGGTACCACTGCACTCTAGCCTGGATGACAGAGTGAGACTCCATCTCAAAACAAACAAACAAACAAAAAAAATTAATAATAAGGTGGAAAATTTCTGAAAGGAAAGGCTTCAGATGCAAGAGGGCCAAAAATATCTTAAAACTGTGTAAGCCCGGCCGGGCGCAGTGGCTCATGCCTGTAATCCCAGCACTTTGGGAGGCCGAGGCGGGCGGATCACGAGGTCAGGAGATCGAGACCATCCTGGCTAACACAGTGAAACCCCGTCTCTACTAAAAATGCAAAAAATTAGCTGGATGTGGCGGTGGGCACCTGTAGTCCCAGCTACTTGGGAGGCCGAGGCAGGAGAATGGCACGAACCCGGGAGGCGGAGCTTGCAGTGAGCCGAGATCATGCCACTGCACTCCAGCCTGGGCGACTGAACGAGACTCCGTCTCAAAAAAAAAAAAGAAAAAAAGAAAAAACTGTGTAAGCCCAACTAAATGAAGTATTAGAATAGGAATGAGATTACAGTTAGACCTGGTGACTTTTTTTCTTTTTTTTCTGAGACGGAGTCTCCTCTGTTGCCCAGGCTGGAGTATAGTGGCGCCATCTCAGCTCACTGCAACCTCCACCTCCCAGGTTCAAGCAATTCTCCTGCCTCAGCCTCCTGAGTAGCTGGGATTACAGGTGCCAGCCACCACGCCCGGCTAATTTTTGTATTTTTAGTAAAGACGAGGTTTCACCATGTTGGCCAGGCTGGTCTTGAACTCCTCACCTCGTCCCCCCAACTCGGCCTCCCAAAGTGCTGGGATTACAGGCATGAGCCACTGCGCCAGGCCAGACCTGGTGAGTTATTAAAAGCACAGTTCCTGAGTTCCAACTCCCACCATTTCCAGGCGTCTATAAAAAGGGGGCAATGCTTCAAAGGATGGTTGGTGAGATTTCAGTGAATTAAAGCTTGGAAAGGACCCAGCACCACTCCAGGCACAGGGCAGGCATCCTACAAATGTAGGTTCCCGTCCATTTCATTTCATCACATTTTCTGGCCACGGGTAGCCACCCCTTCATCTCTACGCCAGTCCAATTCTACTCCAAGTCACTGTGCCCCTCCTGTCTGGATTTGTGAGGGGCAGTCAGACCAGAAGGGGCCACAGGGTGATATTTGTCATCTCCCTGCTGCTATACCAACCTCTCAGCTACCTGAGTAGCTGAGTAGCTCCCTTTGTCTGCCTTCCCAGCCCCAACCTGAGACCTGGGCATCTGACTTGAAGGACACAGGCTCTTAGTGGACATGATAACAACGCCCACATCAGCCCGTAGGGCTGCAGCAGCCCTGCCTGGCCAGAGTCGCTACCTCCCCAGGGAATGTCAACCAGGACCAGAAGCCAAGGCAGGAGGGGACAGGAAGTCAGATAACAGGTTTTCTGCAGGGATGTAAATTACACATCTTGGAGAATCTAACATTTGCAAGGCGGAGTTTTGGGGGCCAAGAAAGCAAATGGTGCCTGTTTTCTTGGCCCAAGGCAGAAATGCCTTTGTGAACACTGGGAGGAGTTGCGCAGGGGCTAAGCCCTGAGAAAGTCCCAAAGCCATAGGAGGGCCCAGACACTGAAGAGGCTGCGACTGGCTGCAGTGGATGCCACACAAACCTCTTCCTGTCCTTGCACAGGGTGGATCTTGTCCCTCCCAGTGTGCTCCTTTCTGTACCTCTTGTTGGCCATGCATCTCCTTGGCCCCTGTCCACGTCTCCATGCCATTTCCTCTGCAGAGCCTTCTCTCCTGCCTCTCCCCTACTGTCCAAACATTTTAAGTGCTGGGCAGCCTCTCTTCCTTAGGGTTCCTTCCCTCTATCCCATTCAAAGAGCTGTACCCAGCTTTGTCTACCTCCATCTCAAGCTTTCATCCTATCTCTCTCTCCTCTGTTCATAGTCAGGAGTCCCTTGCAATGAGACCGATTCCGGTTTAAAATGCATTTGTGAGGGAGGGTGTCAGGGTCTCACCTGGAGGGAAGTCACACCTGCACAGGCCTACAGAGCGGTGAGACGGGGCCTCAGGCATCTCATCAACTGGGTGCATAGAAAGAGCACCCTTATTTTTTTATTTATTTTTTTGAGATGGAGTCTCCTTCTGTCACCCAGGCTGGAGTGCAGTGGCGCAATCTCCATGCACTGCAACCTCCGCCTCCCGGGTTCAAGCGATTCTCCTGCCTGAGCCTCCCAAGTAGCTGGGATTACAGGCACATGCCGCCATGCCCGGCTAATTTTTTGTATTTTAGTAGAGACGGGGTTTCCCCTTGTTGCCCAGGCTGGTCGTGAACTCCTGAGCTCAGGTGATCCACCTGCCTCGGCCTCCCAAAGTGCTGGGATTATAGGCGTGAGCCACCGCGCCCAGCGAGCACCCTGATTCATGGGTCATCAGCTTCCCCCCTTCCCTGGGCCCAGGGATCTGGGAGATAGGAAGTTGATGCCACAGCCCCAGTAGTTGATGTTTCAGGACAGTGGCCAGTGAGTGCTGAACACAGTGAGCAGCAGGGTGGGCTGAGACCTGAGCTCCACGACTCATAAAGCCCCCCTGTCCTTGCATGGCGTGTGGTTTCTGGGTTTATTTCCCTGTTCTCCTTGAGGACAGTATATTTATTCCCTGAGTGTGCAGGTTGTAGGGCTCAGGGCTGAAAGCATTCCCCGTCCTTACAGAAATGCTAGGGATATGAAAAAGTGCACAGGAGTCTCGAACTCCTGACCTCAGGTGATCCACCCTCCTTGACCTCCCAAAGTGCCGGGATTACAGGCGTGAACCAACGCGCCCTGCCCAGGAGTGTTGACTAAACCATCTAGAACTGCCTGTTGGTGCTTGAAGAGACTTGGGGAGGTTGTAAAACCAAAGATTACTCTGAAAGAGACTCTTCTTGGGAATCTGGTGAGGTTTTTCTGTTTATTACTAGTAATATGATTTGTTCTGATTTTTACCACCAATTCCTCCCTCCCCCACTAAACATATACCGCCCAAGGAGCAAGAAGAAACACCTACACTGTGTGTGAAGAACCTGGCATTCTATCATATCTGGCACGGGCATCGGTGTAGCAGCAACTAATGAACGTGTGTCTCTCTTCCCCAGCCTCGATGACTACTGCTCCATTCTAACTGGTCTTCCTGCTCAGTGTGGATCCCACAGTGTTGACAGAACCAGCTTCTAGTTTCGGCAAGGAAACGGGGCTGATTCTCAGGCAGGAGGAGGCAGAGTACGTATGACTCAATCCCTCTTTGCCTTTAACGAGAGTGACGGAGAAGATTTTCCCTTTAAGAAGGGGGATATCCTGAGAATCTATAAAAGCCTGAAGAGCAGTCATGGAACACAGAGGACAGCAAAGGCAAGAAAGGGGTGATTCCAGTTCCTTACGTCGAGAAGTAGAGACCTGCCTCTGCCTCAGTATTGGCTCTGATTGGATGTTTGGAACTGGTAAAGATCTCTGGGTTAATGTGAGTGGTCAGAGGGCAGGAGAGTATAATGGCAAATGAAGTTACTTCCTATTCACTCACGTC